GAAAATCTTTATTTAGATATGATTATTAAATTTGTGATGTTTTACAAGAATTTCTAAAAATGATTTACAGAATTTTTAGAAAAAATTTATGAAACGTCATAAAATTTACTGCGTAAAAATAATATATATTTAAAAAATATTTATTTATAAAATATAATAATTAATATTACATGATAAATAATACTAATAAAATAATAATAATAATAATAATAATAATAAAATATAATAATAAAAATTAAATACTATTCTACTTTACTCTCTATTTACCTTTTCTAATATTTTTTTGTTTAAACTCTTTAGTTGTTTTAGAATCATTAGTATCAATTGCACTTAAATCTTGTTCATAATCAGAATTATTGTTTTTTTCTGATTGATTATCAGATTCTATAGATGAATCAGATTCATTTTTTTCTGAATGATTATCAGATTCTAATGATGAATCTGAATTTCTTCTTCTTTTTTTTTAATTTTGATTTTGGTTTTGATTTTCTTGTTCTCATTCCAAAGCTAATTGCAATATAATTTCTTCTGTAAGTAAATTATTATTATCTTTTTCACTACTTTGCAAAATAATCTTCATGAAAAATTCTTATTATAACATCTAATTTATTTTCTGAATAGTCCTAATTTTCTTTAAACTTTTCATGATATTTAAAATTTTTAAGATATTTATGATGTAATTGTTTTAAATAAGGATTTCTTTTATACTTTCTCTTCGAAAACCCATTTTCTGTATCCTTTTTATAATGCCAAATTGCATCTATTCACTATTCTAATTGATCTTGATTATATGATAAATTCTAATACCATTCATCATAATAAAAATTACTTGTAATAATTACATGTTTAATTCTATTTAATTCTTGACTTCCTTTTACTTCTAACCTATATTGTTGACCAGATAAAATTCTTAAACAAACTATATATAATAATTGTGAACCATTCATATCATCTATAACAAGAATTGGTTGCCTTTCATATCTATCAAACCATTTTGACCTATCTAATCTGTATGCTATTTTATCATCAAATTGTTCTTGATAAGTTGATTTTCCATAATACTTGTTTCCATAATGTAACTCTATAAATGGTTTTCCATATTTTTTATATTCTTGTTCCTCAAGTTTCATCTTCTAATCCAATAATTTTTTACCATACAAAACATAAGTTTTTGAATAATCATTTGCAATTTTATAATATGTTACATATCTACTTTCCTTAATTTCTCGTTCAATAACTGTTTGAACAATTGATAATTTATCTATTTTATATTTAGAAATATAATTTCTATCTTTTAAAATATAAGCTTCTACTTGTTTTGCTGAATAAACTTCTTGAATATTTGAATGATAATTTTTATTTTCTATTTTAATATCAAAAAAGGTTTTTTTCCTTATGCGTATTTTTTTATCTAACTTAAGATAGATATGTAGATGAAGTGTTTTATCTTTATGAGATTCTGTAGCAATAATATAGTTACTAATATAATATTTTTTTTTCTTAGTTTTCTTGTTAATAATTCTTGTAAGATATTCAAGTAATTGTTCTTTGGTTAATTCATATTTTGAATATGTTAAAAAAAATTAAGATAAGTATATATCAAATCCTTTTTCTTTTTTTGTTTTTTGTTTTTTAAATCTAGGTTTAGTCATTTGTAATTAATAAAACTAAATTTATGTGAATAAAATTCTACTCAGTACAAAATATACTAAATAGATATATTTTTATTAAGATTGATATTTGTTATATGTTTACATGATTTAATGTAATATAAAATATAATTTTTTGCTTTTGAAATATTAAATACAGGATGATATTTATTGATATCAAAAAATTTTATATTCAAAACACGATAAATTTTATCGAGTTTAACATGAACATGAATATTATTATTAATAGTAATTACAATATATTTCTTAATTTTTTTTCTTTTTTTATTGAATATTTCTCGTAGATGATTTAAAATAAAGTCTTGTTTTAATTCATAATTATAATAAACAATATAATAATATTAACCTCAAAATATCTGCAAATTATATAAATTATATTATTTAATAAAAAAAATACTAAAAAAAATCAATAATCTCCTTACTTTTTTATTGAATATCTGGCTTGTTGAGCTCTGTATTCATGAATAACTAGTTCATAGAACTCTGTATTCAGATATCAAATTCTAAAATTTGATAAGAAATAATTTTAAAGCTGAATTTGGCTTTTATTTATAGCTTTTTTTAATTAGTAAATCTCTAAATTTTAAAAATTAAATTTTTTATTAAATTTTACATGTTTTCATGAAACTTTGATGATCAATTACATATATTTTTTTTTTTTTTTTTTCAGCAATCATGCTAATACTTTATTTAATCAACAATTTTAATCTATGACTAAAACA